AGATCACGTGGCGGTCTCCAACACTGAGCGGGGCTCTGCACGAGCCGCAGGAAGTGCGAGGCATCTTTAAAAAGACGCTCGCGCTCTTTTAGAAATAGCTCTTTTAGAATGCAATGTAAAAAGGATACGTCGCCGGATAGCGTAGCTCGCACGGATGGCTGAAGGTGGCGAAGACGGCCGGCTTCCTCAGCGCTGTCCTAAGCTGGCTGTTTGCTGTTCGACGGCGGCGGTGGCTTCTCTCAGATCCAGCGATGCGGAGAGCTCGCTGAAGAGTCGAAAAATCAGGGAATTCAGCCTACGAGCCCCTTCTTATATACGCTAAGCCACGCCCATTCTGGCGGGCTATGACGCTATGAAGGCGCGAGCGCCCTTCATTGGGTGTGACGTCACACGGGGCTCACTGGTAGGCTGCAGCAGATGCATGCAGGGCAGCCAATAAGCACGCGAGATGGCCTGCTCTAGGTCTGCTAGCTGCTGCACTGCGTTGACAATGAATACAAAATTAAGGATAATTTTTTGGCTTCAATATCTCGAGAAGATGAATCTTTCCCGTAGCGTAAGCTAAACTTACGCAATACGAGAGAACCTCTCGTAAGAGAACAAGCTAAAGTTTCATTGGACAATACGAAGGGGAGTAATTTCTTGGTCTTATTCATAAATGAGTTAAAAACTGCATAGACACTGTCTTTTTTCAGGTTAAAAAAAAAAAAAACGATTGAGCCCTTTTTTCCGACGTTTTGCATTGGATGGTGGCGGGGCCAACTTCCCGCAGTGATTGACAGGGTGGGTTGGGTTCAAGGGGGTAATCCACCAGCCGGAAACTGAAGTCTCCCCGGGGGCCGCCATTGGCTAACAAGCCTTCACCTACTGTTAGCATCCCATTGACTCCCATTCATTTTTGCGTCACTTTGACAGCGAAAAACTTTACATCTGAGGTCGTTTAAAGACTCCATTTGTCCATTGTTTATTTCTAAAGAAACACGACAATGTATAAAAGGCTCCATTACCTTGTATCTTACGTTATGGCCCCGTAGAAGCCGTTTTTGTAAAAATAGGCTAACGATTGCGTCATAACACGCGACTCTCTGTCGCACAGTAGAGAAATTACCGTATAGACAGAAGTAGACGCTCGCGGGCAATCGGAGGGACGTGGAGGCATAAAGTCAAGGGAGAAGCCCATAGAGAGTCATAAAGTTGCTCCTGCTGCTAGCTCATGGACAGCTAATACTCACGCTCTCCGGCTCTGCAAGATTCGGAAGGGAATGATTCAGATTCCTCTTGGCACAGCTACTAGAAGACGTGCAAGTTGCTCACGTCAGATCTACGTCGTCAAGCTCAGTTTGAGCCTGCGCAGTTCGCTTGGCAATCAGGAAGTGAGTGCTTCTATTTGACTTCACTTTTCTCCGTTGAAGTCTATGGAGTCGCTGCGTCCATTTCTTTTACTGTCTATGGTTGGGTTGGGTGGGGGCGGGGCCAACTTCACGCAGTGATTGACAGGGTGGGAGGGGGCGGGGCCAACTTCACGCAGTGATTGACAGGGTGGGAGGGGGTGGGGCCAACTTCACACAGTGATTGACAAGGTGGGAGGGGGCGGGGCCAACTTCACGCAGTGATTGACTTCTTTTCAATTGTAAAATGGATGATGATTACTCAATCAACCTGGAAGCCAGATGGTTTCAGCATCACTGAGGATTGATGGCATCTGTGTCAGCAATATAGTCTTCCATTCCACTGTTGGGGAGTTGTTTTTTTTGGTAGTAAAAGCTTTTTAAAGGGGACATATCATGAAAATCTGACTTTTTCCGTGTTTAAGTGCTATAATCGGGTCCCCGGTGCATCTACCAACCCAGAAAATGTGACAAGTGACAACCCAGTAACTTTGTTTTGGTAAGCTTTTCTCTGCAAGCATGTAAAAAAAAATAAGCCGATCAGATTTTGCTCCCCTTCTGACGTAGGAAGGGGATCTTATTATAATATTACCGCCCCTTGGTCTGCACGTTGGCACCACCATGGTTTTGGCACGCCACAGCAGTGTAACCAGTTCTAACGCAATGGCAATAGTTCAAGCAAAGGATGCAAACTGTTCTGTCGTCGCCTGCACAGACGAGCACTGTCTTATAAAGACCTCAGGGTACTATGTCACCTTGTGTAAAAGTTAAACATGACGGGACATGCAAGTCGATGAGATGAATCAATGTAACTCCACAACTACATAAATATATCCACTAACCATTTAGAAACGTCAAGGAGCGGTCTAAAAGTTGCAACTTTTAGACAAGAAAGGAACTATTTGCATTTGTGCAGCAATCTGTCTCTGTTTACAATTAAATGACGTCACTTAAAAATCGGATATAAATTGACTACAAAGCACTTCGCAAAACCTTGCAGAACTGGACGTCGCATTTATTTTAACTAGTGTTCATTTACTCTTATTTATGTGCTGAATATTGATTTACTATTTGATGAAACTATCCTAGTTGGTTAAATTCAAGTCCAAGTGCCATCTACAGGCCTATTATGTGAAATGTAGGCCATTAGGTCAATAACTATGGAAGCATATGGGTAGCAATTTTCAATTTGGCAAATGTAAATTATATTTGAAATTTAAATTAATTTTTCATTTTCATTTTGAACCAACGTTGCACAACTGTAATGGAAAATGTAAATTTAAATACAGAAATGCATAGCCATTTTACAAATTTCATTGTCATTTTGCATATTACATTTCAAATTGAACATTGCTACCCATATGCTTCCATAATGAACGCACAAAATGGTGACGCGGAATATAATTATAGTGATAGATTCCCCTATTTACATTTGAGCCCCTGAACTCTCTGCACGTCTCTGCTCGTCTCTGCTCCACTACCATATCATTTGCTACTTGGCAAAACAACCAAATAATTATTCTTAACATGGTTAGAGCACTTTATCTGAAGATATACTGTGTTTGAAATAGTGAGCAATGCATTTTTGTACCATTTAACCTCTGTTAAATCATAGGCATTATTCCCAAAACTGTGAAAGAGGATCGAGGTGTTCTTAAGAGCTTTTTTCTTCCAGTAGAACGAGTCAGATTTTCCATGTCAGCGGGCACTTTGGTTGCGCCAGCGCATTTCACACTAATACAAGGGGCCCTTAGATTACACCAGTCTGAGTGCAGCTGAAAATAGAATCAAACGGTGACGTCGACAAGACAGGTTTAAATCAGAAACAAATTGCTTTGGGTCCCACTGGTGATGTAATTAACTGAAATCAGCATTTGTGCCTCTCCTTAAACTCCTTCGAATATGCCTGATGTCTTTAGACAAGCTGTTCAACTAGTCTCAAGCCAATACAAACTCTCCTATACTTAATCTTCTTTTCAATTATAAAATGGATGATGATTACTCAATCAACCTGGATGCCAGATGGTTTCAGCATCACTGAGGATTGATGGCATCTGTGTCAGCAATATAGTCTTCCACTCCACTGTTGGGGAGTCGTTTTTTGGTAGTAAAAGCTCTTTTCCAGTAAAGACCTATTTTTTCAACAGATATCAGTAGCATGTTAGAATTCTTTATCACTCTTTTAATGTCATATTGTGCTACTCCTTGTGTGTTGGGAAGCCTTATTCATTTTGGTGAATCAGTTTTTTCAGATAATTCATTTCATTGAACTATTCGTTTGAAGGCTTGTCCCAATTGGCACTCTAAGCCCTCACTTTAGTCCACACTTCAGTGATATAAGGCCGCTTTTGACTGTCAGGTAGACGTCTGCTTAGCAGAAGTGCGCAGACTTTCAAGTGTACTTATTTGTTGCAAAATAAATATTTAGTTAAATACTGCTACTTATAACTATAGCTGCATTTCCATTACCCTTCAAATTGCGCAAAATGAAATTATGAATTGAAGATAGCCCAGTGGAAACACGTCAATTTGGCAAAAACTCCCATATATCGCAAAGTTTTTACGCTCGCATGAGGTGGTTTTTCAAGCAATTTGAAAAAGGAATGTTTCGCAAAACTACAATGGAAACCGTTTTTTCCGCATTTGCAGGTCACCTGGCGTACGTAAAAGCCGATCATTCTTTAAAGATGACGCGGTATGTTTGGACGAGACGGAGTTCTTTATTAAACTCATTAAATACAAAAGAATTACGGGTATATTGGATTCTAAACAACAAAGAAATGCCACAATTTATCAAGACCTCGAAGCATATCGGCTCAATCTCTTCCATCTCAGATAGGGGTGGACCAGTACTACTTTATTTGATTTTTTATTCTAAACTGTTTTAATTATTCTTATTTGTTTTGATTATTTTAATTTCTTCTATGTAAAGCACTTTGAATTGCCATTGTGTATGAAATGTGCTATATAAATAAACTTGCCTTGCCTTGCCTTGCCTATCGGAGGGAGAAACACCCAGAAACACCTCATATGTGGCCGCTCCCAAGAGTAAGGGGCTTTAGTTGCCATTAATGGTTCGATAACACGCCTACGTCTCCATCGATTAAAAATAATGGCTAGTGCGGTGCCATGGTTTTTGGAATGACTTATCGCGAGAAGAAAAAGAATCGCATAACATCGGTTTCAGTCAATAGTTTTTTATCGACATTTAGAAAATAATCGCACAAGTTTTGTGCAAATCTGTAATGAAACCAGGCTTATGTTTCCAATCATGAATATCAATTCGGTTAAATCAGTTGTATTATTTGTTTCATGTAACTTTAAGTGTTCAAGTTTTATAATGTCCAGTTTGTTAAGCCATACAAGTTTGGAACGACAATGAGGGTGAATAAATAATGAAAGTTTTCAATCAATGAAACTATTGTCTTTTTTTTAGAGATTAGAGCAGATTTGAATTTTGTTTGCATCATTGATGATTATTTCCTGTTTATCACTGTAAAAGCGGCTTTGAAACAATACAGTAAAACGCGGTATATAAATAAAGGTGACGATTTGAATGTTCCATACAACATGACATATGAAAGACTATATTAAGCAATTGAGGCTCCTTACCAATGGCTTGAGCCAGAGCAATGACCACTTCCTGGCAGGTTGTGTTCTCTGTGACCCCACAGACCACGCGCTGAACTCCATCGACCCACACCTTCAGCTCCATCCCGGGTCAAACTCTGCAGGGCCTGGGGCTGCTGGTCTGCGACGTCATTCCGTTCTGCTCCAAGGGTCCAGCGCTACAGCCGTCGGCCCCTCGCGACAACTCTGCAAGTGTACAACAAGGGTCAGGAAACACCTGGTAAGATATGTACATATCTCACTGCCTTAGGGGCCGTTTACACGACACCGTTTTCAACCGGAAGACTTTTTATGCGTTTTGGTGGCCTGAAAACACAAACTTTTGAAAACGGGTTTCAAACTACAAGTTTTTGAAAACGACACCGTTATCATCTCCATGTAAACTACAAAAATGTGAATCTGTGAAAACAATGACATCATCCACATGCATATTACGTGTTTAGTCTATAGGCTTTTTTTTCTCCTTTTTTTGCAAATGGAAGTATACAGAAATTAACAGTAAGTTCATAAGAATTACACAAATCAACACAACATAACATTTTGTCATGAAACTTTAAAGGTTCTTTACAACAGACTCAAGGATGTGATATGTTTTCGAAGCCTTTGATATTTTCTTAAAGAAAGTAAAAAGGGACTTTATATCAGAGGAGGACATTCTAAAATTGGGATTGCAGTGAAGGGTTCTGGCTTTGCGAAGATGAAATCTGTTCATTTTCAAACAGGATCTATTATGCTTTTTTTTTTACATTTTCAACTTTCTTTAGTGTGTAATGTTGTTGTCTGCAAAAAGATCTGAAAAGTTACAAAGCACAAAGTCACTCCAAAGGGAGTTATTTTCCATATAAGTGCGCACTGTTTCTGAACTCCCTGAAACGCCTCCATTGTAATCTTGAGTTTTCTTCTGGGAACGAACGCATCACTATATTCCTCATAAATAATTCCCGCCCAAGGCATACACAAAAATGGAGGTGAGGCTTGGTTGAGTCGCGTTAGTAAGTGTGTTGAAACTTGTGGTTATGGTCAGGGGGGTGACATCATAGATATCATATAATAAAGGCTAGATGTCTTACGGCGGAGTCACTTCCAGCATCACCGTTCGGCCATCTTGTCACAGGCAGGCTCTGATGTAAGGTGAGTGATCAGCATGAACACAAATCCTCTTATCTCGCTGAAATCTTGACGGATTTACAAACGGTTTGGTTTCTTACAAACGTTATTAACATGGCTATAATTCTGAATGCTTGAACATATATGTTATAATTATTCATATGTATGCAGTGTCATAACTACATCTCTGACGTTTATAACAAACCAAACCGTTTGAAAATCGGTAGAAAATTGAGCAAGTTATGGTTTATTTAAAAGTACATGCACCATTAAAACACAATGTTACGAGTGAGCGAGCTGCCTGTGACAAGATGGCCGCCACGTGCGGATGTCGACCTCCATTGGCCAGCAGCGCGGACGAGACATCTAGCCTTTATTATATGATATCTATGGGTGACATTTCCCAAACACACTCAAAACACTTGACCAATCACAACACACTGATCCAGCCGACCAATCAGAGCGCATTGAGCTTTTCGGAAGAAGGGGCTTCATAGAGAACTAAAGAACTAAACGAAGCGTTACTGACAGACTGGGAAGTGAGGAACTGCAATAATGTAAAATGTGTGGAAAAATTATGTTTTTTTTTTAACATTCAAGCATTAAAACCTATTCTAGTAGACCCCAAAACAAAATCAAGACTTTGTAAAAGGGCACAATATGACCTCTTCAAGTCAAAGACACCATGTTGACTGGTATTTCATTTAGCAAGTCTGTTCATCACAAATCTTTTGTAAGGCACCAGAGTACTTGAAAAGCACAACACATATACTTATATAGTGTAATTTCTTTTAACTTACCAGCAAAAGAAAGTCAAATGGGTTTGGAACGACATGAGGGTACGTAAATGATGACAAAACAACCATTTTTGGGTGAGCTACCACTTTAACGCTATTCTTTTGCTGCTTTATTTTCTTTTACGACTGATTCCCAACAAGAGTTCAATACTCTCTGTTCTCAACCGAATGTTTACTTTTAATGAAATATCAAAGTGGCATTTGTGGTTAGAAAGCCATTAAAAGAACTTTCACAATTTTCTAACCTTTTTTGTTTACTAAAATATATGATATCCATTCACTTTCCAAATCTGAAAAGCATCTGGCTAGGAACAAAGACAAGTTTTATAAAGAGAGCCTTTCCTAATCAGGAAACCTTTGTAAAAGGAAACGACTGTGCTGTTAGCAGGAGACCTCTGTGCTTCCAGATGGACACATTTCCTTCCTCAGATTTTGGACTAGTTTTCGTCAGCTCTTCTTTTTAAAGAAAAACAAGAGACTGCTGTCTACAAAATGATTCAGTCTTTTTGAAACAACAACAACTCACACGTTCCTAAAATAGCATATTTTCCAAGAAATGAATTGGCCATGAATCCGCGTTTTTTGTGGAGGTGTGCCGAGGGTGCGAAAAGGAGGAGGAGGATAACATGAAAAACAGTTGGCCGCAGTGTGGACGTCCCGCTGGATACAGTGAGACCAGCTGGACGTGACATTATGTTCCTCCCACTTCTGCGAACAGGTACAATTTTAGGACGATGGATTGGCAAACATGCACGCCTGAGCAGATCTTCAGCTTTGCAGAGAAAATTCAGTTTATTTTCTTAGCAAAGAAAACGTTTCACATCTGGGACTGGCGTAAGATCCATTTGCAGATGTATTGAAGCATTGCTGTTAATAAGACAAGGCAAACAGTTAGAGGAATAACCAAAGTCGTTCAACATAAGTCAAGCTTCACAAATCAGAAAGGCATAAGACGAGTGGAATCAAAAGAGCCAATTGAGAGGACACACCAATAGTGCAATAACACAACTGCCCAATTTTGTCTTCAAAGCTTTTGTTGAGAATGTCACCGGTGACGTTCGAAGCCTCATTTGAGTGCTTTGAGAAGGGGTTCACTTTTGCTGGGACGCTTCGACTATAAGTTAGTTAGTTAGTTAGTTAGTTAGTTAGTTAGTTAAAACCTTTATTCATCCCCACAGGGGAAATTCAGATGTCCAGCAGCATATAATGTGTGTAGACTACCAACAAGCATTCTCACCGCAATACACTCATAAACACACAAATGATAACAGTTAAGAATAAAAAAAATAAAAAAAATCACAAAAACAAACTACTATCATTAGTAGTAAATAATGCACTTCACACAGATCCATTATACAGTCTTATGGCGGCCGGAACAAACCCCCTCTCGAACTCGAGGGTTGTCAGTAGTTGGGAGTGTTTGGTTTGCTATAGTTCTCAAACTACACTACAATAGTAGACATGGAACCAGCTAGAAAGAGAAGGTGTTCACCGGTTTGGGAGTTTTGTAATTGTTCTCTAAGGTGTGTGTTTGTAGGTTGATTTCTCTGTCATGTCACTAGCCTAATTACAGTGTTATGTGTTACTGTGAGATTATATTAAAAAAAAGAAAGAGGAATCGATTCAGCCCGATGACAGTGGAACAAATATCGTTTTAAAACACAAATTAAGGTTTTCCCTCTCGTGTTACACAAACACTCCCACTGCCCTCTATTCAGTCCACTTTCATCTTTTATCCAGTCTAAAGAACTTCATCTCGCCAGCACTACAACCACTACAGAACCACTACACCACTACTTCCTATAACCCAAGGATCCAAAGACCCAATATAGAATCAACCTTATTAGAATTGGAAAAAATATAAAAATATAATAAAATTCACCAGCTGTTTCATTTGGTTCCACTAGGTGCAGAAATACTTTTTTGCATTTAGTCTATTTGTTTGAAAAGCTGCTGCTTTGTTTTTTAACTCCCCTTATTAATATTAAACAAAAGCTGTAATACAGTTTAAGCAATTCTTTTGTTAACATGCCAAAATGACAAGATTACACGGTCTACTTTCAAACAATTATGTCTTTCGCTCTCCCTATTTCTTTGAAGAAGTTCTAAAATCAATAGAAATCTGTTTTTTTCATTCGTTCATTATGTTTATAGAGCTTTGAGTTTGGCTCCAGAGGAGGGACAGGGACGATTTGCAGACTCTATGGGGCACTGCGCTGGGAAAGTAAAGCACTGCAGTAGCCAAAAACCACAGTTTCAAGACAGAGCTCCTCTCTGAAGGAAATACTACACCCGTCCTGCACTAATAAAATCGGCAAGCACACAAAATTATTTTTTGCACACAAACTTAAGCCTTCAGTTGAAGATTCTTTGTAATTGAAAAATCGAAACTGTTTGTTTATAGTTTAACGCCATGCCAGCTACCCCGGCTATATTCATGGCGAGAAAGAGAATAATTTAAAAAAATGATTAAAATATTGTCAATATAATAAAATAAATTAATTTAATGGTTTGCAATTACGAGGTTAACAGTTTTTTTTTTAAGTAAGATCAATTTCTTTTTCTTGAGATTACTTGTTATTGGCCGGGTTATGTTTCTCCATGTCGTAAACTTCATAACCTGATATGACATTTATTAACGTACGATCATTCGTACAATGGGATTGGCAGCATACGAATGTTTCATGAATCACACGTGAACCTTGCCGTTAGGTGATTTCTGCACATTTAAATTGTTTTGGTTTAGTTCTGTTCCTGTTTCCCTATCCTTGTTTCTTTGTGCATTTAACCCCTTAGTTATCTTTGTTCAGTGTTCAGTCACTTCTATATTGAACACAGTTTTGTTATGCATCTCCTGAGTTTCTCCTACGTGTCATCTATTGGATTTATGATTAAGGAACTGCTTGTTTCTCTGAATCTCTATTATGACCAAACCTGACATTGACATAGACATTTTTTTAAAGGTTCGGATAACTTAATTCATAATTCATCTTAAAAATAGCTCATTTAGCTTGAGATTAAAAAACAAAACTGCTTTTATCCAAAGCAGCTTACAGTTTGTATCATCAGTATACATTTTATCACTACGTGTTTCCTAATCAAACCTATGACCTTGCTATCGCCATGCTCCACCATTTCTGCTACAGTAACCCGATCATTTACATACAAGATATAATAACCTTGTGTTACTTTGCATTATAATAATCAAGCCAATATTATATATGCACAAATACATGCACTACCCAACAAAAAAGTGCCTTCTCAAGTAAAAGAGGCAGTACAT